CGGAAACGGCAGTCGCCAGATCATCTAGATTTTCAAGCGTGGCCATGCATGGCTTCCCTGTCGTGCCGCCGCCGATACGCCGTCAGCGCTCGATCGTGCCGGTGCGGCGGATTTTCTTCTGCAGCATCAATATGCCGTACAGCAGCGCCTCGGCCGTGGGCGGGCACCCGGGCACATAAATGTCGACCGGCACGATGCGGTCGCAGCCGCGCACCACCGAATAGGAATAGTGGTAATAGCCGCCGCCATTGGCGCACGAGCCCATCGAGATGACGTAACGCGGCTCGGGCATCTGGTCGTAGACCTTGCGCAGCGCCGGCGCCATCTTGTTGGTCAGCGTGCCGGCGACGATCATCACGTCGGACTGGCGCGGCGAGGCACGCGGGGCGACGCCGAACCGCTCGGCATCGTAACGCGGCATCGAAGTGTGCATCATCTCGACGGCGCAGCAGGCCAGGCCGAACGTCATCCACATCAGCGAGCCGGTCCTGGCCCAGTTGATCAGTTCGTCGGTCGAGGTGACAAGAAAGCCCTTGTCGGCCAGTTCATTGTCGATCTCGCCGAAAAAGGAATCGTCCGCGCCGACCGGCCTGCCGGTTTTCGGATCGATGATGCCCTTGGGCTGCGGGGCGACGAGGGTCTGGTCGTCGTTCAATCCCATTCCAGCGCTCCTTTGCGCCATTCATAGATAAAGCCGACCGTCAGAACGCCCAGAAACACCATCATCGACCAGAAACCGAACATGCCCAGTTCGCCGAACGACACCGCCCAGGGAAACAGGAAAGCCACTTCGAGATCGAAGATGATGAACAGGATGGCGACGAGATAGAAACGCACGTCGAACTTCATGCGCGCATCGTCGAACGCGTTGAAGCCGCATTCATAGGCGGACAGTTTTTCGGGGTCCGGGCTCTGATAGGCAACGATGAACGGCGCGATCAGAAGCGCCGCGCCGATGCCGATACAGACGAGCAGAAAGATGATGATGGGCAGGTAGGAGGCGACGACGGCTTCCATGTGTGCGAACCCCGATGAACGTTTATCGGCGTCTTAGCCCGATTTCCCGCGCCGCACCATATGGCCGAAAGCCGCACGGGGCACAAGCCGAACGCCCTTTTTGTCTTGCAGGGGCAGTTATCGGTTTGCCGAGCCGCGCGCAAGGGTGCGGACGGGTGGCCAATACCGATTTCGCGCTAGCGCTTTTTCCGCCTCGGTCTCGCCTGGCACATTGGGATATCTGCGCGCTGGCGCGCGGCCCAGCCAACGCGAAAAATGCTTTGGAAACAAACGTGTCTTGGGAGTTCGAAAAGTGGAGGCCGGATCAATAGAGGCCACCGGACTTTGACAGCAAATGGCGCGAGTGACGGGGCTCGAACCCGCGACCTCCGGCGTGACAGGCCGGCACTCTAACCAACTGAGCTACACCCGCATTTGCTGGCCGCCGGCATGGCCGGCGTTCGGGTCACTTAAGTGGAAGGGCCGATGGTGTCAAGCGGTCCGGAAGGCGATTGTCGGCGGCCGCGCCGGACGCGCGACGGCGCTTGCATGTGCGCCCCGCGCCCATTAGATCGGAACGGCGCACAAAGGTTGCGCAGGGGGCGATTAGCTCAGCTGGTAGAGCGCTTCGTTTACACCGAAGATGTCGGGAGTTCGAGTCTCTCATCGCCCACCACTATCCTGCCAAACGTCAAGCGGTCGGCGGAGTTTCAGCGACCGCCCCAACGAAAAAAGCCGCCCGGTGGCCCGGACGGCTTGGTCGTTTTCGCATCGACCGGCCTGAGCCGGCGCGAGACACGTCAGCTGTTGACGGCTTCCTTGAGTGCCTTGCCGGCGGAGAACTTCGGAACGCGCTTGGCCGGAATGTCGACAGCGGCGCCGGTCATCGGGTTGCGGCCGGTCGTGGCGGCGCGCTGCTGGACGACGAAATTGCCGAATCCAAGCACGCGGACATCGCCGCCCGACGACAGGGTCTCGGTGATGGTTGCAAACACGGCATCGACGGCCGACGCTGCGTCGCCCTTGGCAAGGCCGGCCTTGTCGGCGACGGCTGCTGCGAGTTCATTCTTGTTCATGGGTGATCTCCCCTCGTTCGGAATTGTTCGGCGCGGGCGCGAATCGCTTACCCATCGTCACGATGGCGCGACACTAGCCGGAATCTGGGCGATTCCTAAGCATTTAGGCGTCAAACGATCGGCAATCGGCGGAATTCAACACAAAATCACGCGCTTGAGGTGCACAAATCGAAAAAAGGCGCCGTCGAAACGGCGCCTTTCGGATTGTCTGGCAGGCCCTGTGCGGCTCAGTGGGCGACGCTTGGCGCCGAACCGGACGAGGCGGCGAGCGCGGCCGCGGCCATCTTCTCGTCCTCTTCGGTCCACTCGATCGGCTCGGGCTTGGATGTCAGGGCATGGTCCAGAACCTCGCCGATGTGACCGACCGGGATGATCTCCAGCACGCTTTTGACGTTGTCCGGAATGTCGGCAAGGTCCTTGGCATTGTCCTGGGGGATCAGCACCTTGGTGATACCGCCGCGCACGGCGGCCAGCAGCTTCTCCTTGAGGCCGCCGATCGGCAGCACCCTTCCCCGTAGCGTGATCTCGCCGGTCATGGCGATATCCTTGCGCACGGGGATGCCGGTCAGCACCGAGACGATCGCCGTCGCCATGGCAATGCCCGCCGACGGCCCGTCCTTGGGCGTTGCGCCCTCGGGCACGTGCACGTGGATGTCGCGCTTGTCGAAGATGGGCGGCTCGATGCCGAAGTCGATCGCCCGCGACCGGACATAGGATGCGGCGGCGGAAATCGATTCCTTCATCACATCCTTGAGGTTGCCGGTGACGGTCATCTTGCCCTTGCCGGGCATCATGACGCCCTCGATGGTCAGCAGTTCGCCGCCCACCTCGGTCCAGGCAAGCCCGGTGACGACGCCGACCTGATCCTCCTGGTCGATCTCGCCGAAGCGGAACTTCGGCACGCCCAGATAGTCGTCCAGATTGTCCTCATCGACACGGACGGTCTTGACGTCCGAGCGCAGGATTTCGGTGACGACCTTGCGGGCGAGCTTCATCAGTTCGCGCTCGAGATTACGGACGCCCGCCTCGCGGGTGTAGAGCCTGACGATCTTCCGCACGGCCGCCTCGGTCACCTCGAACTCGCCTTCCTGGAGGGCATTGTCGCGGATGGCCTTGGGCATCAGGTGCCGGTTGACGATCTCGACCTTTTCATCCTCGGTGTAGCCGGCGATGCGGATGATCTCCATCCGGTCCATCAGCGGCGCGGGGATGTTGAGCGTGTTGGCCGTGGTGATGAACATCACGTTCGACAGGTCGTACTCCACCTCCAGATAGTGGTCCATGAAGGTGTTGTTCTGTTCCGGATCGAGCACCTCGAGCAGCGCCGAGGACGGATCGCCGCGGAAATCCATGCCCATCTTGTCGATCTCGTCGAGCAGGAAGAGCGGGTTGGACTTCTTGGCCTTCTTCATCGACTGGATGATCTTGCCGGGCATCGAGCCGATATAGGTCCTCCGGTGACCGCGGATTTCCGCTTCGTCACGCACGCCGCCAAGCGCCATGCGCACATATTCGCGGCCGGTCGCCTTGGCGATCGACTTGGCGAGCGAGGTCTTGCCCACGCCGGGCGGTCCGACGAGGCACAGGATCGGCCCCTTGAGCTTCTTCTGGCGCTTCTGCACGGCGAGATATTCGACGATCCGTTCCTTGACCTTTTCGAGGCCGTAATGGTCGGTGTCGAGCACCTCTTCGGCCAGCTCCAGATCGTACTTGATCTTGGACTTCTTGGCCCAGGGAATGGAGAGCATCCAGTCCAGATAGTTGCGCACGACGGTGGCCTCGGCCGACATCGGGCTCATCTGCTTGAGCTTCTTGAACTCCGCCTCGGTCTTTTCGCGCGCTTCCTTGGAGAGCTTGGTCTTTTCGATGCGCTCTTCGAGTTCGGCCAGTTCGCCCTGACCGTCCTCGCCGTCGCCCAGCTCCTTCTGGATCGCCTTCATCTGCTCGTTGAGATAGTATTCGCGCTGGGTCTTCTCCATCTGCCGCTTGACGCGGCTGCGGATGCGCTTTTCCACCTGAAGGACGGAAATTTCCGCCTCCATGTGGCCGAGCGCCTTTTCCAGCCGCTCCTTGACGGGCAACGTTTCGAGAAGCTCCTGCTTGTCGCCGATCTTGACGGCGAGATGCGAAGCGACCGTATCGGCCAGCTTGGCATGATCGTCGATCTGGCCGACCGCACCGACCACGTCGGGCGAAATCTTCTTGTTGAGCTTCACATAGTCTTCGAACTGGCCCACCACCGAACGGGCGAGAGCGGCGACTTCGACCTCGTCCTCATCGGGTACATCGACCGCGACGGCCTGCGCTTCCATATAGTCTTTGCGGTCGGAGAACCGCTCGATGGCGACGCGCTCTACACCCTCGACAAGCACCTTGACCGTGTTGTCGGGCAGCTTGAGAAGCTGCAGCACGTTGGCGAGCGTGCCGGTCGTATAGATCGCATCGGTGGACGGATCGTCGTCGGCCGCATCCATCTGGGTGGCGAGAAGGATCTGCCGATCGTTCTCCATCACCTCTTCAAGCGCACGGATCGATTTGTCCCGCCCGACAAAGAGCGGCACGATCATGTGCGGGAAAACGACGATATCGCGCAGCGGAAGAACGGCATAAAGCCCGTCCGGTCCACCCGCCATCACCGTTTCGTTTGCATCTGTCATGCGTTTCGTCCTTTCAAGGCTTTTGGCCGATATCGGCCATTTGCCGGATTGGCCGCCGTACCGAAGTCCCGGCGGCAGGAGCGGGCATGTCATGCCCTGGTGGTTAACTGGCGCCGGAAGACCGTCATTTCAACCATTGCGGCCGGGCCCTGATGTCCACCTTCGCGCCGAACGCAGATTCGCACAATCGCGACAATGGTGCCGCGACGGCGAAACCCAAAGATGATTCACTCATGCACTGGCCGGTGGCCCCGGCAGCCGGGCTAAAACGTCACGCGCTCTCGGCGGTGGCCTCGGCCTCGTCTTCCTTGTCGGAATAGATGTAGAGCGGCCGCGCGCCGCCGGTGACGACCTCGTCCGAAATCACGACTTCGCGAACGCCTTCCAGCGCCGGAAGCTCAAACATGGTGTCGAGCAGGATCGTTTCCATGATCGAGCGCAGGCCGCGCGCGCCGGTCTTGCGCTCGATGGCGCGCCGGGCGATGGCCCGCAGGGCGTCCTCGTGGAACGTCAGTTGCACGTTTTCCATCTCGAACAGGCGCTGATACTGCTTGACGAGCGCATTCTTGGGCTCGGTCAGGATTTGCACCAGCGCTTCCTCATCGAGATCCTCAAGCGTCGCCAAGACCGGTAGGCGGCCGACAAACTCGGGGATCAGCCCGAAGCGCAACAGGTCTTCGGGCTCGACCTTGCGGAACAGTTCCCCGGTCTTGCGCTCGTCGGCGGCCTCGACGGTGGCGGCAAATCCGATCGACGTGTTGGTGCCGCGGTCGGAAATGATCTTGTCGAGGCCGGCGAAGGCGCCGCCCGAGATGAACAGGATGTTGGCGGTGTCGACCTGCAGGAACTCCTGCTGCGGATGCTTGCGTCCGCCCTGCGGCGGCACCGAGGCGACCGTGCCTTCCATGATCTTCAAAAGCGCCTGCTGGACGCCCTCGCCCGACACGTCGCGGGTGATCGAGGGATTGTCAGATTTGCGCGAAATCTTGTCGATCTCGTCGATATAGACGATGCCGCGCTGGGCGCGCTCGACATTGTAGTCGGACGCCTGGAGCAGCTTCAAAATGATGTTCTCGACATCCTCGCCGACATAGCCCGCCTCGGTCAGCGTGGTCGCGTCGGCCATCGTGAACGGCACGTCGATGATGCGCGCCAGCGTCTGGGCGAGCAGCGTCTTGCCGCAGCCGGTCGGGCCGATGAGCAGGATGTTGGACTTGGCAAGCTCCACATCCTCGTTCTTCTCGGCATGGGCGAGGCGCTTGTAGTGGTTGTGGACGGCAACCGAAAGGATGCGCTTGGCGCGCTCCTGGCCGATCACATAGTCGTCGAGGACGCCCAGGATCTCCTGCGGCGTGGGTACGCCTTCCTTGGACTTGGAGATCGAGGACTTGTTCTCCTCGCGGATGATGTCCATGCACAGTTCGACGCACTCATCGCAGATGAACACGGTCGGCCCGGCAATCAGCTTGCGGACCTCGTGCTGGCTCTTGCCGCAGAATGAGCAATAGAGCGTGTTCTTGGCGTCGCCGCCGCCACCGCTCGAGGAAACCTTGCTCATCGTCTATCCTTTCCTGCGCCGAACCTGGGCGGCCACCTACCTGGCCGGGCCGGCGATCGCGCAATCACGGAGCACTCAGACCACGCCGGGGTCAAAACCCTTCGGCACCATATACACAAGCAGCAAAGACACAAACCCGACACCCGAATCATCAAAGGCTAAGGCTGCCTTTGTCAACAAGACCTTAACGCGCCAAGCGCTCCGGACAGGAACCCTAGCGCGTCGCGCGCCCAGAGCAATCACCAATGCGTGGCAAATGTGCCGCACCCGGCGCGCATTATCGGCTCAGTCGCCCTTGGCTTCGTTCTCCATCGCCTCGCGCGAGGTGATCACCTTGTCGATGAGCCCGAAGTCCCTGGCTTCCTCGGCGCTCATGAAATTGTCGCGCTCGAGCGCCTTTTCGATTGTCTCGTAATCCTGACCGGTGTGCTTGACATAGATTTCGTTCAGGCGGCGCTTCAGCTTCTGGGTGAATTCGGCGTGGATGAGAATGTCGGTCGCCTGACCCTGATAACCGCCGGACGGCTGGTGCACCATCACATTGGCGTTGGGCAGGCCAAAGCGCATGTCCTTGGCGCCGGCGGCAAGAAGGAACGAGCCCATCGACATGGCCTGGCCGGTGCACAGCGTGGAAATGGGCGGCTTGATGAACTGCATCGTATCGTAGATCGCCAGCCCGGCCGTAACGACGCCGCCGGGCGAATTGATGTACATGGCGATCTCTTTTTTCGGATTGTCGGCCTCGAGGAACAAAAGCTGCGCGCAGACCAGCGACGCCATGCCGTCCTCGATCGGGCCGGTGATAAAGATGATGCGCTCCTTGAGCAGGCGCGAGAAGATGTCATAGGCGCGCTCGCCACGGTTGGTCTGTTCGACGACCATGGGCACGAGATTCATCACGGTATCGATCGGGCTTGGCATGCGTCACCTTTTTCGGGGTTTTGCCGCGCAAACGCGGGCAGGACGGCGGGAATCAGTGTCAAACTGGCCATCTAGATAGGGCGGGCACCGGGCGGTTCGCAAGAGAGGCCGGCCAATTGGTTGCCCGGCGATGGAAAACGCCGCAGAACGCGGCCGGACCAAGCCATCAGGGACACGTAATCGTGAATGCCGGAACCCCACCACGCAGCGGCCCGCGCGCACGTTCGGTCGACCCGCGCAATCCGCACTTCGTGCAGGACGTCTATCGCGCCTACGGGCGCTGGCATGCCGATGGTCAGGCCTTCTTCTGGGAGGAATACGGGCATTGGTGCTTTGCCGGATATGAGACCATCGACCGGCTCCTGCGCGACCGGCGGTTCGGCCGGCAGGTGCTGCATGTTGCCACGCGCGAGGAACTGGGCTGGCTGCCGCGCCCGGCGCATCTGGCCGATTTCGACGCCGTCGAACGGCACTCGCTCCTGGAGTTGGAGCCGCCGGCGCATACGCGGCTGAGGCGGCTGATCACCAAGGCGTTCGTCGCGCGGCAGGTGGAACGGCTGCGCCCGCAGATCAACGTGCTCTGCCATGCTTTGATCGACGGGTTCGAGGCCGACCGGCAGGTCGAATTGCTGTCGGCCTACGCAACGCCCATCCCGCTGACAACGATCTGCACCCTGCTGGGCGTGCCGGTGGAAGCCGGGCCGCAACTGCTCGGCTGGTCGCATGCGATCGTCAAAATGTATGTGCTCGACCCGCCGATGGGCGACCAGATCGCGGCGAACACCGCTGCTCGCGATTTCGCCGGCTTCCTGCGCGCCCGGATCGCCGAAAAGCGCGCCGATCCGGGCGACGATCTGCTTTCGGCGCTGATCGCTGCGGAAGATGACGGCGAGACGCTGTCGGTGGACGAACTGGTGTCGACGGTGATCCTGCTGCTCAATGCCGGTCATGAAGCGACCGTGCACCAGATCGGCAATGCAATGCGCTCGATCCTGGCTTCGAAGCTTGATCCACGCGGGCTCTTTGCCGATGCCGAGGCGACGGCGGCAACAGTAGAGGAGTGCCTGCGCCATGACGCGCCGCTGCACATGTTCACGCGCTATGCGCTCGAAGACATGGAACTGGAAGCCGATGGCACGATGGTCGCGCTGAAGAAGGGCGACCGGATCGGCCTGCTGCTCGGCGCGGCCAACCGCGACCCGCGCCGCTTTGCCGATCCGGACAGGTTCGACCCGTATCGGACCGGTCAGGCCAATGTCACCTTCGGCGCCGGTCTTCACTTCTGCATCGGTGCGCCGCTGGCGCGCATCGAACTGCAGGAAGCGCTGTCGGTCCTGTTCGCGCGGCTGCCGGGCATCCGCTTTGCCGAGACGCCGCGCTATGCCGACGCCTACCATTTTCACGGGCTGGAGCGCGCAGTGCTTGGCTGGCGGTGATCAGCAGACCGTGACTTCGCAGATCTTGAGCGTGAATTCGGCTTCCGGCTCGGTGCGCGCCGCATCAAACTGTCGGCCGTCCCGGCATTGGGCGCGTGCCTCGAACGTTCTTCGTCCGGCGAGTTCGCCCTCACGGATGTTGACGAAATACTCGACCTGGCACTGTTGGTCTCGCGCCAACTGCTCGGAGACGGCATCGAGCCACGCCGGGTCGGTGGACTGGGCAAACGCGGGCAGGCTTGCCGCCACCAACACGGCGGCGGAAAAAGCGATGATCTGATGGCGCATCGGCGCACTCCCGTTTTCCTGCGTCTCCTGGGTTCACAAAAGCATCCCGCCGCTCCGTCCGCCTTGCGGCAGGTCAATACGCGCAACCAAAAAGGGCCGCACATGGGCGGCCCTCCAAACAAGCGGTTCTGATGCCCGGTCAGCCGGCCTTGGCCAGCGCCTGGTCGATGTCGGCGATGATGTCATCGACATTCTCGATGCCGACCGAAAGGCGCACCACATCGTTGCCCGCGCCGGCGGCGTCACGCTGCTCGTCGCTCAATTGCCGGTGGGTGGTCGAAGCCGGATGGATCACAAGCGAGCGCGTGTCGCCGATATTGGCAAGGTGCGAGAACAGTTCGAGGCCTTCGACAAACTTGACGCCCGCCTCGTAGCCGCCCTTCAGGCCGAAGGTGAAAACCGATCCGCCGCCCTTGGGCGCATATTTCTTCTGCAGATCCTTGTAGGTGTCGCCCTTCAGGCCGGCATAACGGACCCAGGCGACGGCATCGTGCTTGTTGAGGTGCTTGGCAACCTCGTGCGCATTGTCGCAATGGCGCTGCATTCTCAGCGGCAGCGTTTCGAGCCCGGTCAGGATCTGGAAAGCGTTGAACGGAGAAAGCGCCGGGCCGAAGTCGCGCAGGCCCAACACCCGGCAGGCGATGGCAAAGGCGATGTTGCCGAGCGCTTCGTGCAGCACCACGCCGCCATATTCCTCGCGCGGCGCCGACAGCATCGGATAGTTGCCCGAGGCCGACCAGTCGAACGTGCCGCCATCGACGATGATGCCGCCCATGGAGTTGCCGTGACCGCCGATGAACTTGGTCAGCGAATGGACGACGATATCGGCGCCGTGCTCGATCGGCCGGATCAGGTATGGCGTCGCCATCGTGTTGTCGACGATCAGCGGCAGGCCGTGCTTGTGCGCCACCTTGGCAACCGCCTCGATATCGGTGATCACGCCGCCGGGGTTGGCGATGCTTTCCACGAACACGGCGCGGGTGCGGTCGTCGATCTGCGATTCCAGCGTGGAAACATCGTCCATGTCGGCCCAGCGGACCTGCCAGTCGAAATTCTTGAAGGCCTGGCCGAACTGATTGATCGATCCGCCGTAAAGGCGCGTCGAGGCGACGAAATTGTCGCCGGAATTCATCAGCGTGTGGAAGACCAGGAGCTGCGCGGCATGGCCCGATGCCACCGCCAGCGCCGCGGTGCCGCCCTCCAGCGCCGCGACGCGCTCTTCGAGCACCGCATTGGTCGGGTTCATGATGCGGGTGTAGATGTTGCCGAATTCCTGAAGGCCGAACAGCCGTGCCGCATGGTCGGCGCTGTCAAAGACGAACGATGTCGTCTGGTAGATCGGCGTGATGCGCGCATTGGTGGTCGGATCGGGCTGCGCGCCCGCGTGAATGGCGAGCGTCTCGAAGCCCGGCGTGTGGTCTGCCATGATGAAGTGCCTCCCGGATGGTCGGTTGTCGTTGGTCCCGGGGCGTTATCGGCGAGCGGCCGGTCGAATGCAAAGAACAAATTTGCGCGTCGGAGCCATTTCGCGTTGCGCCAACGCTGGCCGGAGCCGTCTGGCGCAACGGTTTTGCGGGATCACAGGCCCAGGCGCGGCATCTCGATCGCCGGGCAGCGGTCCTGGATGACGGTCAGGCCGGCAGCCTCGGCGCGCGCGGCGGCGATATCGTCGCGCACGCCCAACTGGCTCCAGATCACCTTGGGCAGCGGATCGAGGGCGAGCGCCGCATCGACCACAGCGCCCAGATGTTCCGAGCGGCGGAACACATCGATCATGTCGACCGGCTGCGGCAGATCGGCAAGCGCGCCGACGGTCGGCGCGCCGGCGATCGTCTTGCCGGCATGACCGGGATTGACGGCGAACACCGTGAACCCCTTGCGGACGAGAAAGCCGGTCACGCCATGGCTCGGACGCGCCGGATTGGGCGACGCGCCAACGACCGCGATGGACTTGACGCTGGTCAGAACCGAACGGATCAGTTCGTCCGGATAGGCGTCATGGTTCTGTGCGTGGTTCATTGCGTATCGTTCTGCTCCGGCGCATACATGTAGCTGTATGAGAACAACAGCCTGTCAAAGCCCAGCCGCCGGTAGAGCGCCTGGGCTGGCGCGTTTTCGGCGACAACCTGCAGCGTGGCTTGCCCAGCGCCTTGCCGCCGGGCCCAGTTGATCAGCGCACCGACGGTCTGGCGAGCCAGGCCACGCCCGCGGAAGTCAGGATCGGTGGCAACGGCCTCGACGACCAGAAGATCGTCGATGAGAACGCCATAAGCGATGGACGCAACCCGCTCATCAACCTTCGTTTCGGCGAAACAGAGTGGTGCTTCGATCCGCTGCAGCATGGCGCGGAAGCCGCCAGCATCGGGATTGAGCGTTTCCCGCAGGCCAAGCCAGCCCGCTGAGGCATGGTCGTGCAGTGTGGTGTCCGGCCCGATTCCGGCAATATCCGCGTTGAGCCGGGCGTGGAGCGTCCGAGTGATGCTCTCAGAGCGATATCCTTCATTCTCAAGAGCCGTTTGATCCGACGTGGCAAAATCGAGAAGACGGATCACCGTCCGGCGCCCACGACCGGCATAAAAGGACTCGGCGGCTTGGCGAACATCGCGGGTGGGCCCTGTTGCGCCGGGCAGCGGGTTGAGCGAGTTGGTGCGCCGGATCGGACTTCCGTCATAGCGCGCCGTCCAATCTCCGTGCCGCACTTCGATGGCCGCCGGCCATGCCGCCCGGCAAGCCATCTCACATGTCCAGCAAAGGCCGGTTTCGCTGCGGCTCATTGCTCGTCCGTCCATTGCGCCTTGCGCTTCTGCAGGAACGCGCCGATACCCTCCTCCGCATCGGCGGCCATCATGTTCTCGACCATGATCTCGGCCGTGTAGACATAGGCCGCGTCGAGATCCATCTCGGCCTGCCGGTAGAAGGCCTCTTTGCCGGTGCGCACGACGAAAGCCGATTTTTCGGCAATGGCTTGCGCATATTTGGTGACAACCTGATTCAGATATTCGCGCGGCACGATCCGGTTGACGAGGCCGAACTCCCTGGCCGTCGACGCGTCGATCGTCTCGCCGGTCAGCAGCATCTCCATCGCCTGCTTGCGGTGGACGTTGCGCGACAAGGCGACCATGGGCGTCGAGCAGAACAGGCCGATATTGACGCCCGGCGTGCAGAAGCCCGAACTGTCCGTACAGATCGCCAGATCGCAGCTGGCGACAAGCTGGCAGCCGGCGGCGGTCGCCAGTCCGTCCACCTCGGCGATCACCGGCTTGGGAAGGCGGACAATGGCCGTCATCAGTTCGGCGCACAGATCGAAGGTTTTCTTGAAGAACGCCGTTCCGCCGTCGGCGTCGGCCCGATGGGCAGTCAGTTCCTTCAGATCATGGCCCGCGCAGAACACGCGCTCGTCGGAGCGGATCACGACAACGCGGACGTCCTTGTCGGCGGCCGCTTCGTCAAGCGCCGCCAGCAGCGTCTCCATCATGGCGATGGACAGCGCGTTCGCGGGCGGGCTGTTGAGCGTCAGGCGGCGGATCGGGCCTTCGGTGCCGGCCAGAACCAGACCGCCGGGCTTTCTCAAAGATGTCACGGTGGCGCTCATGGGCCTTGCCTCCCCTGCCGGCGGAACGGTAACAGCGCCCTTGTCGCAAAGCGGCGCCGCCACGGCAAGCCGCGACCAGAGAGCAAGACGGAGATCATGGCGGACACACCCTACAAGCCCATCATGAGCGTGGCCGACCTCGAAGCCTTCATCGAGCGCGATTTCCCGCAGGTGCACATGGACGGGCGGGTGTTTCACATCGCATCCGTCGAGCCGGGCGCGACGACGATGCGGCTCGAACCGAAGGAGCGGCATTTGCGGCCGGGCGGCACGGTTTCCGGCCCGACCCTGTTCACGATGGCCGATGTGTGCGCCTACATGGTGATCCTGGCGCATATCGGGCCGGCCAAGCACACGGTGACGACCAATCTGAACATCAATTTCATGCACAAGGCGGCGCCCGGGCCGATCGTCTGCACCGGACGGCTGCTCAAGCTGGGTCGGCGGCTGGCGGTGGTCGAGGCGACGATCACCGACGAGAAAGACACCATCGTTGCGCACGCCACCGCCACATATTCGATCCCACCGGGCCGAAAAGATACGGTAAAATAATACCTTATCTCTAAGTTCCTGAAATTGCTGGGCTTTTCTTGGGTCGCTCCCGAAATATGGCTTGACAGTTTGATGTCACGCGTCTAGATGCCCGCCATGACGTGCGGAGCAAGCCTCCGCGCGTTTGTTTTTGCCCGAAGATCACTGGTCTTCTGCCGGCAATCCAAGCAACAAGAAAAGCCCCGACGGTGACAGCCCGACGGGACCGATGAACCAAGGACACTCCCATGCGGACCTTTTCGCAAAAGCCTGCCGACGTGCAGAAGAAATGGGTGATGATCGATGCGGAAGGCCTGGTTGTCGGCCGCCTCGCCACGATCGTCGCCAACCGCCTGCGCGGCAAGCACAAGCCGAGCTTCACACCCCATGTCGACGATGGCGACAACGTGGTCGTCATCAATGCCGACAAGGTGGTCTTCACCGGCAACAAGCGCGGCGACAAGAAGTATTACTGGCACACCGGCCATCCGGGCGGCATCAAGGAGCGCACCGCTGCGCAGCTGCTTGACGGACGTTTTCCCGAGCGCGTCGTCGAAAAGGCCGTCGAACGCATGATCCCGCGCGGCCCGCTCGGCCGGCGCCAGATGAAGAATTTGCGCGTCTATGCCGGCGCCGAACACCCCCATGAGGCGCAGCAGCCCGAAGTGCTCGACGTCGCCGCAATGAACGCCAAGAACAAGAGAGCATGACACCCATGGCTGATCTGACTTCGCTTGAAGAACTGGGCGATGCCGTTGCCGGCACCGAGGCGGCACCGGCCGCCGCGCCCGAAGCGCCCGTCCACGTCCAGAAGCTGGACGAGCATGGCCGCGCCTATGCGACAGGCAAACGCAAGGACGCCGTCGCCCGCGTCTGGCTGAAGCCCGGCACCGGCAAGGTGACCGTCAACGACCGCGACATGGACACCTATTTCGCCCGCCCCGTGCTGCAGATGATCCTGCGCCAGCCGGTCGTCGCGGTGAACCGGAACGGCCAGTACGACATCGTCGCCACCGTTAAGGGCGGCGGACTGTCCGGCCAGGCCGGCGCGGTGCGCCACGGCATCTCCAAGGCGCTGACCTATTATGAGCCCGAGCTTCGCTCGATCCTCAAAAAGGGCGGCTTCCTGACACGCGACAGCCGCGTGGTGGAACGCAAGAAGTATGGCCGGGCCAAGGCGCGCCGGAGCTTCCAGTTTTCCAAGCGCTGATTTTTCGCAACGTGTCAGCAGAGATCGAAGCGGGGCCCCGGCCCCGCTTTTTTTGCGCGCGCTGCACCGCTAGGTTCTCGCCATGGAACCGTTCCGTCATATGCTCACCGGCGGCCATCCCAATTCGCTCGGGCGCACGCTGGACGTGGTCGAGATCGTGCTTGACGAGCCGGCGCGCATGGAAGAGCTCTACCAGTGCTATTTCAGCGATGACGAGATCGTCCGCCTGCGCACGTCCAATGCCTGCCGGCGTGTTTTCAAGGAACGGCCGGACTGGTTCGAGACCTATGCCGACCGGTTCATCGGCGAGATCGCACAGATCGACCAGCCGTCGGCCAAATGGACGCTGGCGCAACTCTTTCTCGAACATCAGAGGCGGCTGACGCCGGAGCAGCGCGCCGAGGCGACGGAAATCCTGATCCGCACCCTGCACGAAGAAGACGACTGGATCGCGCTCAACATGGCGATGAAGACGCTGGAGCGCTGGGTGAAACAAGACGCCGCCATCATCCCGCGCATCGAAATCCGCGCCCGCGCGCTGGGCGACGATCGGCGCAAATCGGTTGCCAACGGGGCGCGAAAGCTGTTGAACGCGATGGACGTGTCACCGCTTTGACGAGCCGACCATGCCTTCCGAGACTGTCGATCATGCCATCACGCCCGGCCCGCTGACCGGCGCCGCAAGCGACCCGACCTATGCGGGCGCGCTGTCCTTCATGCGCCGCAAATACACAAAGGACCTGTCCGGCGCGGATGTGGCCGTGCTGGGCATTCCGTTCGATGCCGCGGTCTCCAACCGGCCCGGGGCGCGGTTCGGCCCGCAGGCGATCCGCCGCGCCTCCGCGATCATGGACAATGATCCGCAATACCCGTTCTCGGCCGATCTCTTCGACACGCTCGCCGTGATCGACCATGGCGATGTCTTGCTCGACTATGGCAATCACGCCGCGACGCCGGGCGCCATCGAAGCTGCCGCGCGCGCGGTGATCGACAAGGGCGTGTTTCTGCTCGCGCTGGGCGGCGACCATTTCGTCACATGGCCGCTTCTCATGGCCCATGCCGCCAGGCACGGCCCCTTGGCGCTGGTCCAGTTCGACGCCCATCAGGACACATGGTTCGACGATGGGCAGCGCATCGACCACGGATCGTTCGTCGGCCGCGCGGTTCGGGACGGCGTGATCGATCCGGACAAATCCATCCAGATCGGCATCCGCACCCATGCGCCCGAGGATTGCGGGATCGAGATCCTCCACGGCCATCAGGTCGAGGAGATGGGTGCCGTCGAGATCGCCGAGGCGATCTACGAGCGGGTCGGCGGCGGCAAGGCCTACATCACCTTCGACATCGATTGCCTGGACCCCGCCTTTGCGCCGGGCACCGGAACACCGGTCGCCGGAGGGCCGTCGAGCGCCAAGATGCTGGCGACGCTGATGCACCTCAAGAACCTCCAAATGGTGGGCGCAGACGTCGTCGAGGTTGCGCCGGCCTATGATCATGCCGATATCACCGCGATTGCCGGTGCGGCGGTGGCGATGCATTATCTGGGTCTTCTCGCGGCGCGGAAAGCCGGCCGTTGAGAGACTGATTCAAGCGCTTGGCACCATGATTCAACGTGTTTTCACGCTGATTCCGATAGCGCAGGCAAAGAATTGAAAACAAAGAACTTTCGGGACCGACATGGCAGCGACAATCTTCATCGACGGCGAACATGGGACGACCGGACTGCAAATCCGCGACCGGCTTGCGGCGCGGTCCGACATCGCGCTCCTTTCGCTTGCCGAAGCTGACAGGCGCGACATGGACAAGCGCACCGCGCTGTTGCGCGAGGCGGATATTGCGATCTTGTGTCTGCCCGACGATGCGGCCCGCGAGGCCGTCAGACTGGCCGATGGCGCCGGCACGCGCTTCATCGATGCATCGACCGCGCACCGCACCGATCCTGATTGGGTCTACGGCTTTGCCGAGGCCGAACCGGGCCAGGCAACCCGCATCGCCGAAGCGCAGTTCGTCTCCAATCCGGGCTGCTATTCGACCGGCGCGATCGGGCTTTTGCGGCCGCTCGTTTTGGCCGGCATCCTGCCGGTGGATTATCCGGTGACCATCAACGCGGTCTCCGGCTATTCGGGTGGCGGCAAGCAGATGATCCGGCAGATGGAGGACCAGGCCGCCGACGACCGGATCGCCGCGCCGTTCTTTGCCTATGCGCTGCCGCTGCGGCACAAGCATGTGCCCGAGATCTTGGAGCGGTCGGGCCTGACCGCCCGGCCCGTCTTCACACCATCGGTGGGCCGGTTCGCACAAGGCATGCTGGTCAATGTGCCGCTGCTGTCGGCGCATATGAACGACCATGCGCCGATGGAACGCGTGCATGAAGCGCTGGAAAACCATTATTCCGGCCAGACGATCGTCGAGGTGGTCGAACTGGATCAGAGCGCGGCGACGGTGCGCATCGATGCCACCGAGATGGCTGGCACCGACCGGATGAAGCTCTATGTGTGCGGCACGCCGGGCGACGGGCAGATGAACCTCATCGCCTCGCTCGACAATCTCGGCAAGGGCGCGTCCGGCGCCGCCGTGCAGAACCTCGACCTGATGATCGGCGCCTGATCAGGCGTGCCGGTGCGGCCGGCCGTCCAGAAGCGGCATGGGGCCGACCATGGCCCGCCAGTGGGCCACCGCAAAGGCCAGCACGAAGAAGGCCAGTCCCTGATGGACCAGCGCCCAGGAAAGCGGCACTTCCATCACCAGCGTGACGATGCCGACCAGCGCCTGGCCGACCACCAGCGCAAGCAGCGTAGCCGCACGGCGCGCATGGGTCGAGCCCGGCGCCCAGCGCCAGCAGGAGATGGCGTGCGCGATCACCACCAGCAGCAGCGCATACGCGCCGGTGCGGTGGGCGAACTGGACGATGGCTGGGTTTTCCACCCAGTTGCGCCAGCCCAGCGTCGGCTCCCACATGATGGTCGGGAACAGCCCCTCGCCCATCATCGGCCATTCATTGTAGACCCAGCCCGCATCGAGACCCGCGACGAGCGCGCCCAGATAGATCTGGACGAAGACCAGACCGGCGATGACGCCGGCCCAGAGCGAGGAGTTCGCCGTCGGCTTGAGATCGGGCGCATGCGGCGCGATCGCGCGCCCCACCCAGACGATGCCGCCCAGGATCAGCGCGGCCATGCACAGATGCACGGCAAGACGATAATGGCTGACATCGACGCGCTCTGTCAGCCCTGACGAGACCATCCACCAGCCGATGAAGCCTTGCAGGCCGCCAAGCGCAAGAAGACCCACGAGCGGCCATTTCAGTCGCCGGTCGAGCCGTCCGGCCAGCCAGAAGAAGGCGAGCGGGACGGCAAAGACGAGGCCGAGCGTGCGCGCAAGGAAACGATGGCCCCATTCCCACCAGTAGATGAACTGGAACTCGGCCATCGACATGCCCTTGTTCACCAGCTGGTACTCGGGGATCTGCCGGTAGCGCTCCAGTTCCTCTTGCCATTGCGCTTCTGTCAGCGGCGGGATCACACCGTGGATCGGCGCCCATTCGGTGATCGACAGGCCGGAATCGGTGAGCCGGGTCGCGCCACCGACGACGACGAGGACCAAAAGAACCAGCGCGGTGAAATAGAGCCAGCCACGCACCTGCGCACGGTGGCGCAGTTCAGTATCGCGGCCCCATGCCGTGGCGGGTACGGAGGCGGTGTCGGCGAGATCAGTGGCGGCGGTCATCGAATGTCTTTCACCAAACGCAGTGTGCGCGCCTGATTGCAAATCGGACTCGGCCTTTCAAGTGCCGCTTTGCCGCATGGCGGCATCACTTGACGGCCTTGGCAATGGCGACCGTCGTGCTACATGGCAGCCCATCGCGGGAGAGAACATGCCCTATCGTCTCAAGAAATTCATCGGCATGCTGGTTTTGGTCGCGCTGGTCGTCATCTACGCGCTTGTCGCCACGGCCATTGCGTCACACCGTCTGGCCGAAAGCGCGTGGTACGTGCATCTCGCCTTCTTCGCCTTTTCGGGCGTCTTCTGGGTGGTGCCCGCCATGTTCGTCATCTCGTGGATGGAACGCCGCCCAAGGGAAACCGACAGCGGATAACCTGTTTGGCCGTTCGCCTTTCAAGCCCCGTCTCAACGGAAAAGAAACCCGATTGGCGTAGATCGGGTGCGGAGGCTTAATTCAATGGTTGACGTGACATCCAATATGGCGGCCCCCCGCCGCGTTTCCGAGGCCGCGCCGGCCAGCATTGCGGTCGATGTCGTCACCGACATCGAGGTCACCCGTGCCACCGTGGCGGCGATCACACCGGACATGGTGTTCACCGGATACCAGCACCCCGCCTTCCTTTCCGCCTGGGTCGGTAGTGCCGGCTGCGCGCCGATGTTCCTCAAGTTCGCGGTTGTCGGACATGGTCCGGTTCTGCTGCCGCTCGAACGGTGCGACAACGGTGTCGCCGGCTATTGCGGCGGGCGGCACGCGAACGGCAATTTCCCCGTCGGGCGGCGCGAGGACATCGCCGCGCTGTCGGATGCCGGCGAAACGGCGATCCTGTCGGCCATCAAGGCGGCCGGCATTCCCGCCAACTCGCTGTTTCTCGAGCGCCAGCACGCAAAATGGCACAACCTTGCCAACCCGTTCGTCTTCGCATCGAGCGTTGCCAGCCCGAACATCGCATTGTCCTTTTCCATCGATGGCGACCTCGACACGGTGCTGAAGACCCATGGCGGCAAGAGCAAGCGCAAGAAGCTGCGTAGCTACCGCCGCAAGCTCGATGCGAAGGGATCGGTCGAGTTCCTCCATCCGGTTCCGACCGAACAGGTGTCGCGCTATCTCGACAGGTTTCTGGCACTCAAGGCCGAAAGGTTTCGCCAGGCCGGAATTGCGAATGTTTTCGGCGATGACCGGATCAAGGCCTTCCTGCTCGATCTTTTCACCGACGGGGCGCCCGATCACACGCTGCACGGGCTGACGCTTGACGGCGAGATCATCGCGGTTATCGGCTGCACCAGGCACGCCAATCGGATGACCGTCGAATTCGGTTCATTCGAGCCCGAACATGCCCAGTTGAGACCCGGCGAACTGCTCTTTTTCAGCGCGATCGCCCATGCCTGCGAAACCGGCATCGAAATCTTTGATTTCGGGATCGGAGACGAGCCCTACAAGCGGTCGTGGTGCGACATCGAGACGGTTCACATGGACACGACCATCGGCCTGACGCTGGCGGGCAAGGCACGCGCATTCGCGCAGACCAACCGCAGCCGCGCCGTGCGGGCCATCAAGGCCAACGACCGGGTCTGGTCGGCGGTCAAGACGGCGCGCCGGGCTTTGGCCCGGCGCTGACCGCGAACCCTCAGGCGACGATCATCCCGCCTTGCGGAGCGGTTCGGGTTCGACGGGGTCAGGCATGCCGGCATCCTCTTCGATGACGATCAGCACATCGTCATGTCCGCCTTCGGACAGGTCGCGGGCCGCATCGACCGCGCTTTCACCGCTTTGCGCGTCGACCGACAGGACGATCTCGCTGTCGGCGCTGACAAGACGGTTGAGCCCGGCGGCGTCGGTCGCGCCGCAATCGACCAGCACGATATCGTAGGCCGACGACAGCCCGTCGAGGATGATCGGCAGACGTTCGATGCCGGACACGGCCCGGTCGGGATCGGCATTGCCGTCGGCGATGATGTGCGCGCCGGACGCGCCGTCGCCGAAGATCACATCGGAATAGGAAGCCTCGGCCGCCAGCAGGTCGGTGATGCCCGGATCGGCGGGATCGGCGTCCATCAACCGGCTGGCAAGCCCGGTTCCGCTGAGATCGAGCACGATCGCGCGCAGCCCCCTGGCGTCGATCGCGCGGGCGATCGCGACCGTGTTGTGCGCGCCCGATCCGCCTGCCGGACTGACGATCAGAGCGCGGCCGGCACCCCGGCGCACCAGCTTGGACGCAACGGCGGCGACCGAGAAATTGTCGTTGGCCGGCGGCGCGGCAGCCGGCTCATCGACATCTGTCGGCGGCTCGACAGCGACACGGTCCCGCAGCACGGGCGCATCATCGCGATCTGCCGTTGGGATTGCCCCGGACCCCGCGGCAACGGCCGCGGGCACCAGCGCACGTCCGGAGAACAGTTCGCGCATCAGCGTGACCACCACCATCAGAACCAGCGAGACGAAGAGTGTCGCGCCGACCATCGGCACCATGCGCGGGAAGGATGGCTCGAGCGGCACGGTGGCGCTTGAAATCAGCCGCGCCTTGGCTGGCGCATATTCGCCCTGGTCGCGCGACTGGGCTTCGCGGTAGCGCAGAAGATAGGTTTCGAGCAGTGCCCGCTTGGAGGCGGCTTCGCGCTCGAGCGCTCGCAGTTCCACTTCGCTGCCGCTGGCATCGGCGGACGCGGCCTTGAGCGTGTTCAAATCGCCATTGAGCTCTTCCTCGCGGCCGCGCGCAATGCTCGCCTCGTTGCGCAGGCCGGCCAACACGTTGCGCGCCTGATCGCGTATCTGGGCCTCCAGGCCGCCGATCTGCGATTGCAAGGCCTGCATGCGCGGATGGCCGGGCAACAGCGTCGTCGAAAGATCGGCCTGACGCGCCATCAGATTGGCGCGCTGTTCGGTCAGCCGGGCGACGATGGGCGAGGCGATAACGTCGGGAAGCGTGTCGACCGACGTGCCGCTGTCCAGCGCGCTTTCGACGCTGCGGACGCGCGCTTCCAGCGCGGAGCGTTCGGCGCGCACGCGCGACAGTTCCGTCGACAGTTCGGCGAGCTGCTGGGTCGCAAGTACCGAATTGTTCTGGCCCATGAAAAGGCCGTTGGCGGCGCGGTACTCGGCAACGGCCGCTTCTGCGGCGCGCACCTCGTCCTGGAGCGGACCGATCTCGCTTTCGAGATAGTCCGCGGCCGCGCCGGTGTTCTGCAACTGGGCGCGGCTTTCAAGCGCCACATAGGCCCGGGCCAGCGCATTGGGGACGCGCGCGGCAAGCTCCGAATCGGACGAGCGGAAGCCGATGACGATCACCCGCGAGTTTTCGACCGGAAAGACAGTCAGACGCTCGCGCATCGCATCAAGGACGCGCTTTTCCCCGGCAACGTCGGACGGGTCGGCGCCAAGCCCCAGGGCCGCCAGTCCGCGTCCGAACGCCGACATGGACGCGGCGTCGTTGAATTCGCTGCGGGAAGCCAGATCGAGTTCCCCGGCCACCTGCATCAAAAGATCGGTCGATGTAATGATTTCGACCTGGCTGGCCACCGCTTCCTGGTCGAGGCGGGTCTGATCGGCGAGCGGGTCGCGTTCGGGCCGGGTGAAGACGGATTCGCCGGCATCGATGAGCACACGCGCGTCGGACCGGTATTGCGGGGTGGCAAGCATCAGGGCAACCGCGACCAGCGCGGTGATGACCAACGAACCAATCAGGATGATCCACTTGTCGCGCCAGACGGCCGCAGAGAGCCGGCCGATATCGATATCGGCGTCGCGCGACTGATAGGACGAAACGGCCATTTGATTACTCCGGATACGCAGTACTGGCCGTCCGTTCTAAAGGTTTATGGTAACCACCGCGTAAACCGGCCGTTGAGGGTTCGTTCATCTCGATTGACGATAGGTAAACCGACTGCCCCGCCGCTCGGCGCGCGCAATGGTCGTGCCCGCCGCTTTACCGGCCATTAACCCTAACAGGGCGATAACGGCGTCTGATCGAGGTGCACACGCACTTCTGCTTTTCGACGTTTGGATGTGCCAATGGGTGTTCAGTTGCGCTCCTTTTTGACGACAGGCCTTGTAGCCGCCGCCCTCGTCTCGCTGGCGGCCTGTTCGGGGTACCGCCCCGCGCCGGCGGCGTTTCACGAAGCGATCAGCCAGCCCTACACGCTCGATGCCGGCGACAGCGTTCGGGTGACCGTGTTCGACCAGATCGATCTGACCAATTCCTATGCGGTCGACCAGTCCGGCTACATTTCCTTCCCGCTCGTCGGCGCCGTGCCGGCCCGAGGCAGGACCGTCCAACAGATGGAAAGCGCGATCGCCGCCAAGCTGCGGCAGGGTTTCCTGCGCGACCCGGACGTTTCGGTTCAGGTCGACCAGTACCGACCGGTCTTCATCATGGGCGAGGTCGGTTCGGCCGGCCAATATGCCTATGTTCCCGGCATGACGGTGCAGACCGCGATCGCATCGGCCGGCGGGTTTTCGGCGCGCGCCAACCAGGCCAATGCCGACATCACACGCCATATCAATGGCCGCGTGATGACAGGGCGGGTGCTGATCTCCGATCCGATCCTGCCCGGCGACACCGTCTATGTCCGCGAGCGGCTGTTCTGACGGGAGCTGGCGGCCATGTCCGATACGGCCGGCCTGCGCATCGTCCACGTGCTTCGCGCCCCGATGGGCGGCGTGCTGCGCCATGTCCGCGATCTGGCGCTGGCGCAAGCCGACCGGGGCCACCAGGTCGGGCTGATCTGCGATGTTCCGGGCACCGACGGCTACAACGAAACCATGCTGGAACTGCTGGCCGGCGACCTACCGCTCGGCCTGCACAGGGTCGCCATGGCCCGCGCCGTCGGGTTTGGCGACATTGCCAGCGCCCGCGCAACGCTTTCGGTGCTCAAGCGGCTGAAACCCGACATCGTCCATGGCCACGGTGCGAAAGGCGGCGTTTATGCGCGTGCCATCGGCGCGCTGGCCAATCGCGATGCGCGCCCAGCCCGGCTTTACTCCCCGCACGGAGGAAGCCTGCATTTCG